ATTGGAAATATGGCGTTGAGTCGCTTGGCAGCATAACCCTTAACATTCCACAGTCGGATATGTGAGTTTTTCGTTGGTAATTGTAGAATTTTAAGCTGAATTTATCTTTATTTTTTTGCAGACCCGCTCAGGTGGTTAAGATCTTCTTTGCCATCACCACTTGGATATCGTATGCATTGCAGGGTTATGTCACGGCCCACATATTGTGGGGCAAGTATCTGAGTAAACGCATCAAGAACATCAAAAGGCATTCACTCTACGAACTGATATTCCGTGCTGTCATTGTGCTGCTGACATGTGAGTTGAGGGCTTTCCTTTTCTATGTATGCAGACTTTAACTCTTTCTTTTGTGGCTCCTGCAGTTGCCTGTGCCATTGCCATACCAGATCTGTCGGTCTTTCTGTCGCTCGTGGGCTCCTTTTGCCTGTCCATTCTGGGCCTCATCTTTCCCGCCTTGCTGCAGATTTGCGTCCAGTACGAGCAGGGCTATGGCCCGTGGCGCATTAAATTGATTATTAATATTCTGTTGCTATGTTTTGGCATCTTTGGTGGCGTTGTGGGCACCTATGTGAGCATTTTGGAGATCATTGCGGTGTACAAATAAACTCAGAAATACACACACAAACGCGCACAAATTTGATTGAGTTTGGTTTGTGTTTTTCGTGGGTAAACATTGCAATGTTGCATTGTTGCTGCACAGCACACACACAATCTTGAGCAGTCTCATACACACACACACAAATACAGCAAGTTGGTTTATGGCCAACAGAATCAAGAGCTGCCAAAGTAGACCAAATATTTTAAGTTTTAATTAAAAGCTAAGCCACACGGTGGAAGCTGCTGCAAGTGGAACGAAGGGAATGCACATGCGTGCAACCAGAGGAAGGGAGCACTGGGAAGATGGTCAACGTTGCAACGAACTGTAATTAAATGCAACCGCAATTAACACAAAAGCGCCGCAGGTCAGCAAGCCAGACACAGGACTCGGATGAGGACTTTCCTTTACCCCCTCCCTTTACTGACACACCTTTCAGCGGAAGCTGCCCCAGCTACTCTCTGCTGCTCCTCTGCTGGCATCCTCTTGCATTTTATTTACAATGTTTGGCGTTCAGCAGGTACCTGACAACATTTCTGCCCTCAGGCGCCACCTCAACGCCCACTTGCAGTCCAGCCCTGCCCCCTTTTTCAGCTCATTTCCTCACTGCTTTCGCTTGTTGCTGTTGTTGTTGTGGCTGTCCTGTGTGAAGGCCACAGAGAAAACGCCGGACCGAGCCACAATGACCGCCGGGGCCGGCCCCTAAGAAGCCGGCGATGAAGCCAAATGGACAAATGCCGGCATGTCGAAACGAGGTGAGCTGCAGGAGTTTTGCAAGGAACTGAACACTAAATGCAACTCCAAATTTGTCCAAATAAATTTGCAATATTCTCTTCGAACATAGATGAGCTGTGGCTAATACAAGAGCTACTGGAAATCAGAGTAATATAATCATAATTTATTTTAAGCTTACCACAACTAATTCCTCTAGCAACCCTCGCTGTTGTCTGCCGGCTCCAATTTGCCCGCTCTCAGGGCCACGGAATGTGTTGAAATGTCGTTTGCTTTGTACGTTTAATTACTCTTTTGACGGAAATAACACAACATTCGTGAACTATTTCGAAATTGGCAGCAACACACAGCCACAGAGCGAAAAGGAAAGGTTGGACGAATAAGAGGGGAAAGGTAGGAGGAAAGAAAGGCAGAAAAAACTAAAGAAAAATGTAGAAAGCGCGACAGAAAATGGAGAGAAAAAAGCGAGAAATTCTCAGCAAAATTGGAGTACTAAAAAAAGAGGAAAAAATGCAGCAGAAAACCCTCGCGGAAACTGAAGACTCCTCGGGAGGCAAAGAAATTGAAACCTACACAGGACACTCGCCAAAATCGAAGCCCAAGACGAAGTCAAAGTCAAAGCCAGTGCCGTGTAAAAGTATCCCATGAATGCGCCTCAGTTACAGTTTCCATCTTGAATTTCCGCAGCTTTTAGTCACCCTTCATCAAATCGCTTCGCTTTGAGGCAGCAACGAGGCAAATTAAATGACAAGTTTTTACTCTTGTGCGACGCTTTTATTTATATGTTTTTTTCCTTTCACTATTGGGAGCAGCAGCAGAACGCTTTTAATTATATTTGTGCAGGCAGCCAGGCAGGGCAGGACTGAGCAGGCTGCTTTTAGTGCTTCCGGTCAGTTGATTCCGGAACCAGCATGCCCCTGCTCCGCCTCCTACCCTTGGGGCTTAGGGCAATTGAATTACGCACAATTCCAGCTCCATCCGCAGGTAGCAGTCAGCCATGGATGGACTGGGTCCAGCGCTATTGAGAACACTCCAAATGCGTAAAAGCTAATTAGGGAATGTCATGAATAAATTTCCCCCTCATCAAATTGAGTTATTTCATCCTCATCCATGTGGTTGGGCTGCAGGGTGCATTTTACGAGTATTAATTCCACGAGAATTTCTCTCTTTATTTCCCTCTTTATTTTACATTTAAATTTCACAACTTCTCTCATAATTGTTTACCAATTTTTCGTTTGATTTTTTGTCTACATTTTTTAGGGATTTTCTGTTGGATTATAAACTTCCGTATTGAAAGTGTTTTTTTTATGTTTTTGGTTTATTTTGTGTAGTTTTGTGGTGAGTTTTTTTTTTCGTTGCAGCTTAAATACTGTTTAATTGTCGATGTGTTTTCAGTGGGAATAAATTATTTTTGCGGTGGCTTGGGTTTTGTTTGGTTTGGTTTTTGGGTTTTCCGCTTGACTCGGCCGCATTAAATAGCTGATATTATATGTGCGTTTTAAATGGGATATAAAGAGGAGTGAGTTTCATTTGCTTACTATTATTTTAATGGCTTGGAAAGTATATGTAACCGTAATCTGTGTATTGTTTCAGGCATAATTTTACAGAAAAAAACTACTTTTTAAACTACTTTATTTTGGTGCACATTGAATGATTCCATTATTCATAATATTTCCAGCTGCTTAAAATTTATTTATTTGTAGCTATACGCTTCAGCGGTTACTTAACCATTTTTCCAGCGTATATTTGTCCCTTTTTAAATATATTCAAAAACTAGACGCTTCCTCACAAATATGTCCGCACTGCCCACAAGTTTTTTGCATCCTTTTTTAGTTTTGCTCTTCAAAAGTTTTCCATTAGAAATTCCCTTCAAACAGCAGACACACAAAAATGTTGCACAGGAATTAGCCAACAAGTTTTGTGCCAAGTTATCACTTTATTTTTTTGCTTCTGAACTTCTGAACCTTTCCAGTTTCCACACAAATCTTTAGCCCGAAAAAAAAGCCAAAAAGTGATCTGCACTTTGCTTGAGCCTCATGTTGCCGCTTATCTATTTTCCAGTTAATTTTGCCATATAATCTTGAGCTTTTGCCGCCACATTTTTCACTCGAAGTTGAGCGGCAGCTTATCACACACACAGCTACACGTTTGCCTCCCCCATCCATGTGTGTGTGTGTGTGATTTGCACTGCTTAATTTGGGGGCACAAATGACTCATTTTTATTCATTCAACTAATTTTTTGGGGGGGCTTAACAGTGCTGCCGGCAATTTGTAGCAGGCAATCGCAAGCAGCTCTTCCCCCTCTCTCTTTCACTTGCAGCATCTCTATGATTCGCTCTCTCTTTTACTGTCTGTGTTGGTGTGTTTAACGCAGCAAAATGATTTATTTTACGCTACGCTAAACACACACGTACCCGCACCCGCACCCGCACCCACACCCGCAGCCGCACCTCTAGAAACAAAAACAAAATGTGGCTTGGATGGGCTTTGGATGCTTGTTAGATGATGGCAGGGAGAGAGCGGTGAAGAGTGTGCTGTTAGAGTGTGCTGTTCGGAGCGTGGAGCGTTCGGTGCAGAGGCAACAACTGCGACAAGCGACGCATTGTTACTGCGGCTGAAGCTTTACGCTTCGGGTTTTGCACTGAGGTTTCGTTTCCTATTTATTTAAGCCCCAACACAAACATTTTGTACAATTTTCATGCAACCATCAGCACCTAAAGAGTGGGCGGCAGTGGGCCTGCTGCCACATTGAGTAGCAGCATTTGCTATGAATAAATAACGAACGAACGAACGAACGAATGAATGAATGAATGCATGAGAGTAACGAATGAATGAATGAGTGTAGCAACGAATGGACGAATGACGATGTGTCTCAACTGGTTCTCATGTGATTTATGCTTTGAATACATGAAACTATAATAAGCAGAGACAAACTAGAGAGGGTTGAGGTGGAAGAGCAGCAGCAAGTAGAGGGTCCAGGGAGAACAGCAGCAGATAGTAGGGCCCAGGACAGCAGCAGAGAAGGAGTGCCAGGGTGCGAGGGTCACAGCAGCTGTATGGGGTCTATCCCCATTGATTGGCCGCTAATATGGTGGTCTCGTACCTGCAGAAAGAGCATTCCCTTGGGAGTTTGCTATAAATAAAACCAAACAGTCGGGCAGGAGCAACAAACAAAAAGGACGTTGTCATTGTTATGTGTGCTGGAAACAGCTGCCCCACAGCGGCGCTCTCTCTGTCTGTCTGTCTGTCTGCCTGTCTGACTCCGGTTCTGGGGTTTTTGTCTTGTTTCGGGGCCGTTGCAGGTGCGTTAAACATTTATGAGCGCAGATTTTACACAGCGATGGAATGGAGAGGGAGCGAGAGGGGAAGGGAGTGTGTTAGCCACACAGAAATGATTATGAATACACCCTCATGCAGCATGCATAATTCATCATATTAAAGTGACCCCATTGCGTATACGCAATAATCATACGTGCCAAACGTGGCAGCGGGGCAACGGCTGCTTGTGCTTTATGAGGCAGTTAAGGTTCTCTTTCTCCCCCAGTGGGAATACCATTTAAGAGTTGAAGCACACAAATCAATCATCAATCAAATCATTAATGAGGCTGTGCAGGAAATGCGTTGACCCTGACCTTCGAGTTGTTTCTGTAGTTGCTTCATTTAAGGAAGCTGATTAAGGAAGCGCAAAATTATTGATTGTCTTTATTTGGCAGATAAACACACAAAAAGCTGTGGGGTCTGACGGTTTGCAGAGCGTTCTTGGTGTTGCTGTAGGCTTTAGCTTCTCGCTCAGTCTCCCAGCTGCTGCTTCTACTGCTTTATCTTCTCTCTTTTCTGCCTCTCACTCAGCCCACACTTGATGTTAATAACAAAAGCAACATGCATCTAACGCCTTCAAACTTTAATCGCTTTTAGGACTTCTTGTCCAGACGGTTCATTCGCACTGCTGCCGACACCTTTTCGTACTTGATGCCGTGTTCGGTCTTGGGCTTACGATATGGCACGTTGCCTTCAAACTTCAGTCGCTCAAATTTGGGCACAGCGTTAGTCGAATCAACACTCTGCTCCTTTTCTTTGCATTTTGCATCTTTTGTTTGACGTTTCGCTGGAACTCCTTTGAGTTCTTGTGGCATCATGGACTGTTCCTCGCTTTTTGCTTCTTTCAGTAGTTTTTCTTCTTGATTGACTTCTTGCAGCAGTCGTACTAACGACTTGCGATGAGGTATTGGGTAGCTGTACACGACGATCTGGTTGGCGTTAGCCTCCGGCTCCACCGTGTACTTGTTGCCGTTGTCCTCCTGATCCGTGGAGAAACTGTTGCCAGTGTACTGCGGGTCAATGCTTGCGTAGGTCCTCATAAGCAGCTGCGATGCTGTAGAGACGGGAATGAGGAGTTTCCATTGGGCTTTTCCATATCAAAGTTGCACTTACGCGACGGCCGCTTGGCGACGACCCGACAGAGCCCCACGGCAGACAAATTTAAAAACTTTTTCAACATTACAGAAAATTTATAAAGCAAAACAAATATGTAAATGTTCGAAAATTAGCTAGACGTTGAATTTAAAAAACAGTCAAAATTGGAGCGAACAATTGAACGTTTGAAGCAACACTGAAAAATGGAGCCTGAAAATTTGGGAAAGAAAATCAAAAATCAAAAGTTGCTTCGATTGTTTGCCGAAACCTGTAATTGACTGAACAAAACTGTTAACTTATTTGGCAGCACAATGGGCTACTTGTTACTGAAAGAGGTAGTAGATTGTCGTTGAGTGATATCCCAAGCATCAGCAGCCACCCCAGAGCGTGGCCAGAGTCATAATTTATGCCGCATGTTTGCCATAACTCAATGGCTGCGCGAGCTGACAATTTCCACAGCAAAAAGGGAGAGAGAGACAGATGGAAAAATGAGACTGAACTGATGAAGCTCTCAATCGATAAATGGGATTTCTGCTGTGGCTTCAGCTTCATTCTTTGCTGCTATGCGACTGCTTCTCTCCCTGTCCCGGTGCTGAGCGTTTTTTATTTCTGTCGCCGATTGAACGAACAATTGCGAGGAGAGATGCTGTGCCAAGATGAATTGCCTGCAATTGTGCGCATTGCTAGCCATTTGTTAGCCAACACGAACAAGAAACAGAACGTGGGAATATCCATGAAAGCCAAGCTTTGGATGCCCTTAAGGGCAAGAGAAATGTGAACTTGAATGGGAAGCGTGCAAGGAAGAGGAGGAGCTCCAACTCGAACACTCTGAGGTGCTCCAGGATGATGTTGTCTCCTGCTACTCTTAGTACCGAAAAGGGTATACAAACAGCCAGTGCAAGAGTCAGAGAAACAGCAGCCAACATCAAGAACCATAACAGATTTCCGAGTCAAGTCGACTTTAGAGCCGGGCTTTTGAGTCCCTTCCCTCGTTCCCTAAATCCCAGTCGATAAGGGGAAAAAAGCATTTGACAATGGCCTTAGAGGATTTTCCCCGCCAAAAGACAAATCGCTGCATGTGTGAGTGGCCCTTTTGGCCCTTTTTGGGTTGCAGCCATTAATAATTACGGTTATGGGCTCTTTTTTTGTTGGGTTGGGGATGGCAGTGCAAATGTTAATGGGCTTTCGGGTGCCTGGTTCAAATCGATTTTCATGGTTTATCCCGCTTTGCTTTGGCAATCTTTTGGCGCTGTAAATTTGGCAAAATACACACAAATATGAGAGAGAGAGAGAGAGAGATGGCGAGAAGGCGGAAATGTGACCACTAATTAGCCAAAAAACATAGTCATAGCTTTTGGCATACATATGCTGGGGCATAGATAAACTAAAGCAAAATACATTTACATAATGCACACACACACATGTATATTTTATAGCCTTTTGGATGGGAATTAACCCCCACTTAAGCTCACTGAAATGCAGCCCAGAGGCAGTTCTCCCCCCCACACGAGCCACATGTGTTATTCATTAGTGGAGCAGCACCCCCACACACAAATGGCGATAATTTGTGTCAGTGGGTTAAGCCAGCTATTAGAGTGTTAATGGAAAATATCTGTGAATAATCGCTGGAGCTAAAAGATGCATTCGATTTAGCTCATTGTAAGTGCAGCACCAAAACGTGGGCAGACATCCAACAGATCTCGGTCGCAAGATTACTAAAAAATAAGCAAATAAAATATATAAAAAATGCTTCAAAATCAGCTACAATATTTATATGTTTCCTCATTTACATTCCTTTTTTCTAACCATAATTTCTCTTAATTCTGTTGCTCATTTTTCGCTCAGTGCATTGACACTTTGTAAATGCAGAAAATCTATCCATCAAATTGGAAATCACGCCATGCAAATAACATTTGCTGTGTGTGTGTGTGTGTGGCACTCGCATTTCAATGTTGCACACAAAATTTGCAATGCCAAATGGGGATTGCCAGGCATAATTACTGTTTGGAGTTCTCTCCATTTTTGCCCTTTTCTTTTGTGTCTTCTAATTACAAATGCACACTTGGCCGGCCCATAGCTAGTTGGATTAAATCCAAAAGCCAATTAATGCCGCCAGCGTTGGATTATATTTACATAAGGAATTCCCTTTAAGTTGGTGCTTGAATTACTTAATATATTCCACATTAAAAGTACTCCTAAATCCCTTATCAATCCATTTAAAACTGCTCTTTCCACGCTTCAGCTTTTAATTAATTTAGTGTGAAATTATTTGCGGAATTTATGCCCCACGCCAATATCGTGCCGAAAACATGCTAAAATAAATTATGAAATATTGTTTATTCTTAGGCAAATGCATGCATATGTGTGGCCACGCTAATTAAATAAAATGATGCAATTGTTTTTACATTTTGCGGCTGTCCAAACAGCGACACCGATCTCCCAAAATTATTTTCAATGAGATTTTACGCTGCTGGGGGGAAAACCAAAACATATTTGCAAATAAATGTACATATATGCATGTGTGTGTGTGTTTGTGTGTTTGTGTGTGCCAGCAAAAAGCCAATGATGTGTACTGAATTATTTGGCCAAGCGAATTGTCTAAATGGGCCATGATAAACTCTCGCATTTTATTGCAGGTTGCTCCCCCAATCAACCATAGATATCTAGCACTGCCGCTGGCACTCACTCTCTTAACAAATAAGCATTTCCCTTTTGGTAATTCAGTTTTGGCATAAAGCCAAAGATAAATGGCAAATTCCAAATGCCAACAGAAATATAACCAAGCGAGAAGGTCAACGCAGAGACACACACAAACAGAGAGAGAGAGTGAGGGCAAGTATAACAAATCTTTTGCTAGTTGTACGCCACTCGCATTTTGCTACAGCGGAGCATGTCCTGTGCTTTAGCTGGACCTCCTCGAGTAGGTCGGATTTATGTGCGCTCATGTCACTGCACACAAAAAGTTAAACAGCGCGCAACGGAAGTGCGACAACAGCCAGAGATACAGTCGGGAAAAGAAGCAACGAAAAAAAATACAGCAGAAACAGGAACAGAAACAGAAATAGGACCCCCCCACCCAGGACAATCAGGAAACTCGCCTCAGCTTCTGGCAACTGGCAACTGGCAATTTCTATGCGATGCTCAAGCTGAAATTCTCTCATTACCGTGAATCAAACTGGTACTAGGAATAAAGTTCACATTAAGCCGGGGCAGGGGCAAGTAATGAAAGATTTTTAGTGCCAAATAATGACACAGAGTTGCACTAATGAAGACAGGTAGCAGGTCGTGTGGGAGTGGAAGTATTGTGGGGTATTTATCCTCCAGCTAACAAACATGTGAAATGATTATTTCATAAATCACAAATTCCTTTTTAGAGCTTCACAAATAATGCTAACAAATGCCGGACTCCAAGTGATTTCTGTGACAAATTCTAATCATAATAAAAACTGAGAAATAATTGATGCTTAGAGCGGAATGCCAGTTGTGTCTTTTGGGTGTATCTTCCCCTTCTATAAAGTGTGTCAACTAGTTTTATTTCGCCTGAAGCTGTGCAGCAACAGAGGAGGCAGCAGCAAAAAAACGAGTCATAGAACTGCTATAATACCTGCCATAATACCAACAGAGCTTATGTGAAATGAAAAAAAAAATATATATAAAAAAAGAAAGCAGAAATGAATGGAAAATTTGTCAACATTTTCACTGAACTTGCAGTGTAGTTGGGTTGTTGTTTTTGTTGTTTGTTATTTCTAGAGCCAACTTCCGTTGCCTGTTGACACATTTCCACTTCATTGGAGGAAACAGAGTCAAATGAAGAGGACAACAGGACACGAGACAGACAGCCGCGAGGCCCAACACACACCAGGGGACTCATTCAGGTGTGCAGGCGGTGGGTGGGCCAGGGAGTAGGATGCCAGCAATGAAGATACACCCAAGGGCCATGGGGCCAGCGCCAGGCTCGCACTAACGACAAATATTTGACACATGGCAGGAGCAGCAGCGGAGTAGTGGAACTGCCAGCCGTCGTTGGGTCCTCCGCACTAAAATATGCGAGGCATGTGCCAGGATATGCGTGTGGTGTGCAAAAAAGGAAACTCCGACACACACATCCTAATTTCCTTGCCCCAAACACTTCCTTTTGTCTGGCTACTGCTACTCCCCTTTCCTCTTCAATTACTGCACTCTCCGGCTTCGCTTTTTTGTCATTCATTCTATCCCTTTTTTCTTGTTCTTTTAATTCTTGTTTCCCTTGTTCTTTTAATTCTTGTTACTTGTGTTGTGTTCACATTTTAATTTGTGTCAAATTGTTGCTAAAATGCAAAACGCATTGTTACTCCGGAGACATCCATTTCGTAGACAGTCAGCCAGCCCATGCCCCATGTCCGTGTCCATTGCACGCTCTCTCCTTAGTTGTTCTGCTTCTTCATCAGTCTCTCTTTTGGTTTGTTTCTGCTGCCACCTCTTGTTGCCTTGTTAACACACTTTTGTGCTTTTGTTTTCATGTGTGTGTGTGTGTGCACTCTTCTTTTTATGTCCGCTATTCGAAGTGTAATGTGCCCTGTAAAAGATTTCAGATCTATGCAAAAGGGATGGGTATTTTCATGTAGGAGCTATGGTAGATATAAGCTTCTGGGTGGATTGAAGTCTAAACAAACACACGGCTGGAAAAGCGTTTTATTATCAACAGAAAATATTGTTTCAGCGACTGATTGCTTCTGTGTTCAGTCAGATATTGATTTTAGTTAGAATTTTTTTGTTAACATTTGGTGGCACTTTTTCCAGTAATACAAATTAAATGATTTTTCGAACGATTATTTCTATCTCGGGCATTCGATTTAAGCACAATTTTAACAGCAAAACGTCGTTGGGATTATCTTTCGACAAAAATAACTAAAAACGTTATACCCAATAATAATTATTATAAATTCTCATACCCTCATGCAGGGTATGGAAAAAAGTGGGGGAGTCCAAGAAAGGAACAATAACAATGCGGGTTAAGCAGTGTCTATGTAAAGGGGGGCGGTGTAACGGGAGAAAGTGTGCAGCAAGCAGGGCAGCAAGCAGGGCAGGGAGCAGGGCACGGGTGTTGGTTGTTGGGTGCTGTTGCTGTTGCTGCTGTTGCAGAGTGTCTCCATGTTGCAAAAGCACAACAATAAAATGTTGTTACAAATTCATTACCGAAGGCGTTAAATTTGACACAGT